CAGATCAATTGCTTTGATTGGATCCTTGATGCATTTAGCGCCCATAACGTCTTAGAACATCAGAAGCACTTTTACTTATACCTTTCACTAGTTACCCTTCATCATCAAACAAGGCGACTGAATGCTACAAATAAATTACGGAGTAGTAACCTTGCTAACTTGGTTTTCATGATTGATCCATCACAAACTGAGAGCCCACTATTAAAGATTATCAAAAAAATCTGGCTGTAAAACTCTCAATTGACTAACGCTAAACAAGTCAATTATGTAGTTCAACTCTTTATCTTATTCACCTATCATTCTTTATTAAATAATCAAATGTGAGACTCCTAAGAGTTGATAGACCAGGCACACTGCTTTGGTTTGTGGCATATTCTTGTAAACCAACTGAAATAGCAACAACAATAACAACCCAGTTTGATCCCACACGAGTAGGGCCTGGGAGGGTGTTTGTAAGTACAACTTACCCCTACTTGGAATTAGACAGGCTGTTTCCAAAATAACTGAAACAGCAAAAGCTAGAACAGTAAAGTATAACAAAAAAAATACAAAAATGGTTTAGAATGTTAAATGAATAGTTAAATTAATTATAGAAGTCATATTTTGGTATCTTTTCTATATTTTAGTCTTATTTAAAGTGATTTTTAGAAAAGATCACATGTAGAAAGCTATCTTCATAGATTCACAAAAGATGTACTCAGATTCGAGCCCCCATGTTTGTAGAGGGGCATTAATTCTTTGTATGTGATTACGATGAAAAATGTGAACAAATACCAAATTTAAGTTATTGAATGTAATGTTTACTTTTTTATCTTTTACTTTTTTCATATTAAAAATGTTTACTTGTTCATGTGTGTAACGTTTACTTTTTTATTTTTCACTTTTTTCATATTAAAAATATTTAAAAATCACTAGTATTGATATCTTATTTTGATTTGAAAATATATTTAAAAAGTTATATTAAATAATAAAAGAAAAAAAGTTAAAATTTTTTAATATTAAAGTTAAATTAATTTTAAGTATAAGAAAATACAACATTATAAAACTATATAATTATAAAACTATATACAAAAAATACAACATTATAAAACTATATACAAAAAATATTTCCAAAAAAATTAAATGTAACTAGTCCACCGGACCGGACGGAAACCCTGTGGACCGGGCTGAACCAGAATTCGAATAAGGAAAAAATGAGGATCAAAGATCGAACTGAATAAGGACCGGTCTGATCCGGTTTTGGCCGGGTTTCGGGTTGGCCCAGGTCCGGACCGAATACTTAGAACCCTAGAATCAATTACTAGCTAGTCCCTAATGTGATCATAGTAATTTTTTTTCTCTTCTCTCGATAAGTTTTATTTGTTTAGGTTATTTAATTAAGTATTTGATAAAATAAATATTTTTGTCACTTCTTATTTTGTAGAACTTTTTACGTAGTTTTTTAATATGTAATGTTTATTTTTTCTTATCAATATACCGATTAGTAAATAAAATAATTTCAAAAAATAAGATATGTTTTCTGGTAAACCTCATTTTGTAGTCAAATTTAGAGATAGATGAGTATAATTTTGTTGATACGGAATATTTGTTGATCCGACTTGTTTTCTATTTGATTTGTTCTTATCTCTATTTAGCTCTAACTAATTTGAGGGCTGATCTTTGGATCCGTTCAATTAAGCACTCATATACGTTTACATGTTTCTTTTCTCAAATGTATTTTCTTTTTCTAAGGAATTTTAAATTAATCTATTTATTTTATTTGGATAAACAACAGTCTTATTCTTTGATCATATCCCTATAAAGTAATTGTTGTTTTATATTTCATATTTCATTTGTTTCGTTAAACTGCTTTTGGCTATCCTCGATTATCAAATTTAGTTATTAGAGAACTGCAAAATAACTTTTATTTATATTTTAAGGTTCACTCTAATTTTAATACGGTTAATATTGCCGGAATAAATGATATTTTAGAAATAATTGTTATATTTTTGTAATTACGAGTATTAATAATTTTATTTTTGTAATTATGCATATTAATTGTCAAAGGTATTTCGCAAATATAACCGTATTAACTTATATGTTAAATATAAAAGTATATTACTTATGGTTTAAAAATTTGTTATTATCTACGGTTTTATATTTTACATCTAGTACTTCTCTTTCCAAAATTAGTTGGTGTTTAATTGTTTATTATTTACAAGATTTTTTTTTTATTTATTTTTTATTTTGCTTTTTTGTCTAAATGAACAAACATTTTTTTATATTTAGATTGGTAGATCTTTAAAAATAATCTTTAATTATAATTTTAATTTTTTATGTTATTTTTTTTTACATAAATTTAGGATTTTCCCATTTAAAACGATCTAAAGTAATTTTACTTATAATTTTTTCTTTTAAGATTTTTTGTTGGATATGAAATGGTCTTTTGGCAGATTTAATTTCATTTTTATTTGTTTATTTTAGTAGTTAATAATAAAGTAATACAAATCATCACTAATAAAATTTATGATTATAAATGTTTAGCTTTGAAACATATTCTATGAAAATGATGAATAATCTGGGGAAGAATGTTGCCTATGTTCAATTTTTGAACCATTTAGTGTTACTGGGTGACACACCACCACCACCTCCTCCGCATCCCACCCACCCCCAGCTACCCCCTCAACCTGAACCCACTTCCCCCCACCCTCTGTCTCTGCCAGCCCTAGGCGACACACCACCACCACCACCTTCCACTCATCCCCAGC